GCCCTAACTCCCCCAGAAGATTGTCGCAACATTAACGTGACTTCTTGTTAAATGTAACGTTTTTAAACTTGTAAATTTCATCAAAAAGTAAGCTAAATTTTTTTCTATTTTTTTCATTTTTTTTTAAAAAAGAACATATAGCGTGAAGAGAGAAACTGACTGCAGGTTTGAACTCAGCGATACAGAAGTATCTAAGAAATTTTATTTAGTATCCGTCCAAAACTTTTATGCAACCAAGAAAATCTCCTATGGTTAGTTTGACGGTAAGGGGACTCTAGTCCATGGAGGACCTCTCTACCACCGAAGATATTTTTACTTCAGCACCGTGGTTGGTGCAAAATGGGTGTGGAATTCGCATCGACTAGCCATTGCTGGGATTTACCTCATTGGCAGGCGAACTCCCTATCCCCTGAGCCACCATGACTCTCAGAGATGTATTATATTTTATAACCGTCATTGAACAGCCGACCCAATTTCGGGTTTACGACAACTAATGCTCATCTCCGTAGTCTTGTAATTTTGAAAAATTCCAAAAGACAAGGAAACTCCTGGATCAGTATCTCCATAGGTATGATTTGTTATGAGATCATGGAGGACTTTGTGACTCGACAGATTCAGCGTGCATCAGTCACCATTTACTGCACGGGGAGTCTTCGGCCGGGAGGGATAGAGACTACGACCTCTTGGACATGGGCCCAGTGCCCTACCAACCAGGCTATTCCGGCCTAATTTAGAGATGTATTAAAAAGGAATTCTGCCTCCGATTTATTTGTTTGTTTTTCAAAAATGAAATCAAACTTAAATGAAAAATAATATGCAGCGCCCTCTGCCACGCTGGAGGGTTTCAGCCACCGGGCTTCCGACGAATTCATTCCATTTTCATTCAGGTTTTTCTATGCATTTGGAATAACAGCCAATAATCACCCTCCCTAAACACACATCAAAATATAAAAATAAGAGATTCTCAGAAAATAGTTTGTACGTGAAGGATAGCACGTGGCAATGAATTGTCCGGAGTAGTACAAACCATTTTGTGAGTCAGAGTTTCTTTGATGAGAGAGATTTTCCTCCCTACGTTAATGGGGGACACGGAGTGCCACGCCCTGGCACCACCCTCGCTACACCCCCTAATCCAGACCGCCACTGAATGTGCACTTTTCTGCCTAGCATCTATCGAATTTCATTCCGTTAGCTGCTCCTCTATATTTATCAATGTAATTGTAGAAAAAATATTAAAGATATGCACTTGATGAAAATAATATAAATATTCATCGGTCAGACTTTTTTTTGGTTTTTTGAATTTAAAAAAAAAAAATGGTAATTTTTATTTTGCTAGCTATTCTTTATGCAGAAAATATCTGAACAGGAAAAGTTAACAAACATATCAAAACGAAACTTTTATTTAACTCAGGATAATATTTTCAACACAATTTTGATATATTTTTTTTAAATGTAGGTTTTATTGTTTTAGTGTTTTATGCATAACGAGGCCATACAGAAATGCCCAAAAAATTTAAAATTTTCAGAAACACTAATTTGGCATAAATTGAATTTTAAATCATTATTGTATAAATTATTTCTTGCCACTTAAAAAGTATAAAAATTATTAAATAGCACAAACAATTTAAAAAAACACATCTTTTAAAATTTTAAATTTTTTTAAAATAAAATAACTATTATTTATTTATTGCAAATTGAAATTTAGATTCTTGGTAGGTATATTATTTACGTTGCATTAGAACTGCACAATGGGCTATTGGCGACGGTCTTTATTTCGACCATATAAGAAGTGTGCACAGTGCATTCCCCTGGTGAAATATAAAATCTTTCTATAAAGTTGCGAAACAAAAGCTATATGAGTTCCTCATTATCATCCCATAATTATGACTTCAGAGTTGTAGGCGCAATGTAGAGTAAGATTGATTTTTTAGCTGTGAAAATTGGTCCCCTTATTGAAAAGGAATCCTTTTAAATCAATAACTTCAAATAATATTTTGCTGCACTAATTGAGATTTTAGATTCTGATCAGAATCAGATTTTTAAATAAAAACTATAATTTTTTTTTTTTTTAAAGAAAGTGCTTGTGAAATGTAAGAACGATGGAATTTATAACTTAAAACTATAAAACTTTTTTTCTAATCTTCACGTTTAATTTTTTAGTTTTAGACTTATAAACATAAATATTTAAATTGCCAATTTTTTAAAAAAAATCTTTAAATTAATACAACATTTTACAACTGACATTGATGTTTGTCTGCAGGAGGAATAGAAACTGGCCATATATTGAAGGCAATAATTTTTATTGTTGGTAATTTGTAGCTTAATGATTAGCCCAAATAAAGTTTATGCAAGATTTCCTAACCAAACAAATTATCTGAAAAAATTAATAGTACAATTGGCGCGTAACATTATTATTCTCCTTTCAATGCAAATAAATAATATTCTACTAATAATTCTAAGTAAGACTGTTATTTTAGATAATTGTTTTTATTTTCATACCAGCGAGAACTTCTTAAAAAAATAAAAATAAATTAATTCTGACCACGCACACACGCAATGAATTTTACAATTGTTACAATTAAATAATACAAATATATAAAACAAGAAACAGATAAAAAATTATTTTTCAACTATTAAAACAAAAGAACTAGTATAGTGCTATCTTCTATAAAATTTCGTTGTCGCTGATACCGAAATTTAAAATAAAATAATGTTATAAATCTGGGCATTAATTGAAATTGCTTCTTACAAGTCTTAATATCATACAATCTTTAAAAAAATTGAACATAAAAACGTTGAAATATCATATTTTACAAACTCTTAATAGGAGTAATTCCGAATCTTTTTATAAACTCCTTGAAAAGAAATAATTTCAAAACACAATGCGGAAAAAAAGAGAAGAAAAAAAGAAGTCAAAATAGTATAATCTTTTACAAATTACACTCATTTTTTGCTCAGTTAAACTTTTTGAATAGAAATAATTCCGAAATAAATGTAAAAAATTTAGAATTATCACATAATATAAATTGTAATCATTTTTTAAAGTCAGTTTAACACTTTGAAGTGCTTTACATCATAATAGCGGTGTTCATAAATAATAAACATGTAATATTTATGAACAACTATCTTTCTATCAACCTTCAGTGACGAAATAGTTGTTCAGAATTTATGATCAAATTATGGTTCCGGACGATAAAAATCTATGAAAAATACTAATATTAGGCTTGAAGCTCACAATTAGTTTAAGAGCTTCGGCGGAAAAAAGTAACCATTAAAACGCTCTTCTGTATCTACTGGTGTTTAATTTCCCTGTCATAGATATTCATAAAAGAACCCAACATTTCAGCCCCGGTGCCTTTTTTTTCGTTATTTTTTTAGCCTCTATCTGTTGAAATCTGATAGATTTGTTTCAAACTTGTTTTTATGAAACATTTGATGACATTTCTTTGCTATAAATAGATTAGTCCAGGAAATAAAGTTTTCTTTAAGTTCAGCGTTTAATGATGTTATATAAAATTAAAGAATATTTAAAATGACAGTTTTTAGTCCATATCGGATGCTAATTTTCATTTTTCGGTAAACAAAAAGTGATGAATGCAAACGTATATTTTAATTTAAGCGTATTTTACATTTCAGCTCACTGTAAAAACTTTTCATGTCACCAAACATGGCGACAGCAATTATGACACCGAAATGGCGTGAACCAAGCTCAGTTTCTGGAGCATTGAAACACCAAGAATATTCTTTAAACTCTGTGTGTAGCAGATGCCAAGATTTTCGGTATTCAGTAACAAAAATATTTATAATTATAATATGATATAAAAAACATATAATGAAAAAAAAACATAAGAGTCAGCACAGTTATTTTTACGTGACAATATAAAGTAAGAATGATTTATTTAGGATGCATATATTCACTAAATCTTAAGTAAAAATTAATTTGTAAATCAAACAAATATACGAGTAGTACAAGGAGAATATTAAAACGAACTCGAACTAGGCTTAATAGAATTAGGCTTAACAGTAGGCTTAACAGAACCGAAGCGGATATATATTTTACATTATAAAATTTTTAATACATTTTTAGAGAATTAAGAAAATAAAAAATAACAATCCTACTTACACAACTAAAAACGTACATAAATATTTTAATGGTCTAACTTTTGTTTCCATAAATGTAATAGCATTGAAGACATCAACTAACTCGTGTGAATTTGTATCCAAATGTATACATCTACAGATGATTTTTAATGCACGCCAACAGTGGTGTTTTCAGAAGCGAGGTATTTAACTCATGGTGCGAAAGCACGTGAGAATAATGCAAACTTTTCCCATTAAAATTTATTTACGCATTTTAAATTGTATATGGAAATTCGACTTGAAAAAAAAAGTTTTCCCTCATATAATTTCTTGGGTTGTTCAAACATAAAATTAAGAGAGATAGTACAACACAGCTTTTAAAGTGCAGTTTTTAGAAATGATTAATATAAGTAAAAACATGAGTTTCCAAATCATGAACAACTTAAAATATATGGAATTATGGCTAGAAAATTTCTTTTTACCACAAAGTGCGCTTTTATATGTAATATTTTATCGTGGTAAATTATTTTAAACTTATTATATAAAGCATTTTATGCTAAATATACTATTTTAACATTTTATTTAAAAAACAACAGTGAACAACTGACACAGCTGAACTTAACACAGCTTTAAATCTTTCACATTTGTCAACAAACGCTTGAAGTGGCTAACAAGCTAATTTTTTGCATCAAACTTTTAATTTTCTACTATCGATTGAATCATTTAATTTATTGATTATCCATCTGGGCTTGAACCAATCCAGAAAGCAAGGAAACTCCTGTATCAGTACCCCCAGAGGTATTGATTTGTTATGGGAGCATGGAGGACTTTGTGACTCGACAGGTTTAACCTGCATCAGCCACCATTTACTGCACGGGGAATCTTCAGCAGCCGGGGATTGAACCCACGAACTCTTGGACATGGGTCCAGTGCCTTACCAACCAGATTATCCCGGCCTCAGTAATGCAGCATTGGAGTAAGTTTTTAAATATTGAAAATTGGACCACAAATGCTTTTCATTTTCACAAAACTGGCTTAATTCCATATAGACGTTTTTCGCCATTTTCAAAATAAGCGTAGACAGGTCAAGACAGTAATAAAAATTGCAATCACATATTGGAAAGAAAAAAAATGTATAAATATCACTGATTGTGATGAAAAAATCTTAAGAATCCAAATATCGCTAATAAATCCTATATCAATAATTAATGTAGATTTGTTTATTATTTGTTTATTATCATTGTTTATTATATTATTTACTTCTTCATAATAAACTTCTATCACCGCCAGAAATCTACCGTCTTTTGAAAAATATTCACTGAACATTTTATTTTTGTTATTTTTGCGTTTTAAAAATAACAAAAATAAAATTATTTTCTACTTGTAAGTCCACTATGTAAAGCTGTTTTTTAAAACATTTTATTTTATTATATTTATAGTTGATAAAAGTGAGGCAATAATCGAAGCACAGCAACTCCATACAATCTATGGTGAAAACAATTTTCAAGCGATGGTTTAATGCAAATATATGAAACCATTTACTCTACTTTAATGCAATCACGCGTAGCTTGTAACCTAAAGTTGCGGTAAATTTTCAAAGGATATAAGGCTTATTTAAAATTCGATGCAACCCAGATTCACCTAATTTCTAGAAAATTCTTTCCTTCGAATCAAGGTGTGTCACTTTAACAATCGGAAATTTAGCACCGCAAAACCGATTTGTTGAGAAAAAGATTCCGAATATTTATGCTCGATTCTTGAACATTCTCTTCGAAATGGGTTCAAGCAATTACATGCCATTTGTATCTTTGTTTTCTATTGTGGTCGCATTTCTTAGTACAGGTTTCAAGAGAGAAAAGCTGTTGAATTGATTATTGCGTCATCAGCAAAATTTATCTAATGATTTATAGTAGAATATTATTTAAAAAGCGTGCATTACCGTTATTTTATCAACAAATAGTCTTGATTATTTTGTATTATGTTAGTATTTTGTTTATTTTTTTAAATTTGAAACATCACAAGCCTAGAAAATGAAAATAATGATGATAGAAAATTAGTTAAATAATTCAGCTCTTTTCGTTTATTACATTATAATTAAGTATTTATTATAATTAAGTATAAAAATAAAAGAACATGTTAATTGAAATTTAGTGAGCTAGTGGGCTGCGCCCCCTGCTCGCTAACGCTCGCCAACCCCCGAAAATTGCTACGCAATCTTATATGGTTCGCTTCGCAAACCAAGCTCGCTTCGCTCGCTGCTAACTTAGGTACATTGCAAATACACAAAATTCTAAGAATTCAAAACAATCATTCAAATCCATATAACAACTTTTTTTTAAAAAAAAAATTACATCTTTTTAGTAAATACTAAGTCATTAAAATAAATTTGAATTCAAATAAATGACATGTAATTCGTTAAACCTATTAGAAATGTGCTATAGTATAAAATCTTAAAGCGTAACAGCACGACTGAGACTCATTTTTCAATGAATAACTAATAACAATAGTAAAACAAATAAATTCGTGATATAAATCAAAAATCGTCAAATAAATTCGCAATGTATAAACTCGTGAAAAAAAGCGCTTTCGACAAAATACTAAAATAGAGATCTATCGACAAAGACTACTCACTTCTGCCTAGCTTATGCTCTCTCTAGTTTTTTCAGTTTCCGTTTTTAAAAGAGCTATATGTTGAGCCATCTCAGCTAGATTTGGCATGTGACATTTTTAGCGGCAATCATTAGTCGATTTTCTAGCGTTGCCATTCGGGAAGTTTTAATGGGTTTTTTTTTGTCGCTGTGTAAGAGAAATATATTTATAGATTTAAGGAAGTAATTTTGTATGCTACTTGCTTTGTTTGGTTTGAACTTCAAAGTTATTTTACGTAAGTTTAAGCCATCAAACATTAAAAAATATAAGCAATTTAGAAAAAAAATAAAGAGGAATAAATAAAATAAATAAATAAAAAGGAATAAAAAGTAAATAAATCAAGATAAACAAGCAGAAAAATTAAAAAATATTTATGAACCAAAAATAACAATGACAAGATAGTTTCAATGGTTCATTGATATCTTTTGTTGATTCCAACAATAAATTGAAGATATTTGTGAAAGAAAATATTAATTGATGTTATTCAAGCAATTCAAAAGAAAAGTATATGCACATCGTTTTGCACAGTTTCCATTTAAAAGCATTGCGTTTATTTCTTTTAATTTAAAACATCCAAAAATAAATAAATAAAATAAAAATAAACTAAAACTAATAGTTGAGACGGATGTATAGGTTTATCTGTTTCTTTTGTTGATTGCATTTATAAATTGAACAGCTTAGAGAAAGAAAACGTTAATGACATTTTTAGTAAATTCGAGAAAATAATTCCATACTCAAATCGCTTAGACTGGAATGAATTTAAAAGTATTTTGTTATTTTTTTGAAATTGGGACATCAATAAATAAACGAATAAAAATAAGCCAAAAGTAGATTTGGTGGAATAATAGTTGTCTGAATTATTTGTTTATTTTGTTGATGCCATTTACAAGTTAAAGAGAAATTAAAACTAATTGTAAAGGAAAAAATTCATCTGAAATATTTGTTTTAGAATGTAACTTTGTTTGCTGGTTTAATTTTATAAGTATTTTGTTTATTTTTTTGTAATTCGAAGTATCAAGGAGATAAATTAATAATTTATATTTCACTAAATTTTAAAACAAAATTTAAAGAATTGGTCACACTCAAAAACTGATTAGTCTCGTAAGTTAAAAAAAAAGGCATCAAACTATAAAGTTTATTTTACGATTTTAATTATAGTCAAATTTTTAATAACAACAACTGTTATATAAATTTTAAAATAAATAAGATTTTGAATATTATAAATGTTTTTTTTTTATTAAGAAATACGTAGAGAGATTGTATAATACATTCATCGGTTATCTTTCTTAACTCTCTGAAGTATATGTGTATTTTAATACAATTCATTTTAAATAAATGGTAGAAAAAATTAATTCATTATACAATTATTAATTCATTATGCATAAGGAAACTGATAGTCATATAAATATAGTAAGTTGAAAAAATTCTTTAAAGTTCATTCTATGAAATTAATCTCTGTAAAATTTCCAATTAAATGAATTAACTATTCATAATATCACATCAGGTGGTTCATGGTACGAAACCATGTGGTACCTTGCATGACAATGTTCGTTCACACCCACACGCACAAAAAAAAAAGAAAGAAAAAAAATCATAAGTAGACAAACGTATAATGCATTTATCACAAATGCTGTAATGGTTTAATTATTTAAATATGACATAATGTAGAAAAAAGGCATCAAAATCGGCCCAGAGTTTAACACTATCCTCTACTAGCAAGATAGAAGAAGAAAAAATTATCCGTATGAAATTCATAACTTTTTTCGCCAATTTATTGATAATTTCTTTCCTTTATTAATTTTATTTTTCAGAAAAAATAATTAATACCGTTAAATTCATTTTATCGTAAAATTCATTTTATAGAAAAATCCGTTTTTATCGTAAAATATTACATCAGTAGTTTTTACAGTAATATTATTTAGTTAGAGTGATTCAGGGATTTTGCGGTAATTATTAATGCAAAAATTACGATATATCGGATTTTCTGTTACCATGTTCCGGTAAAAATGAATTTAACGCAATAAAGCACCGGCATTTATATTCCTCATATACGTTACACAAATTTTAAAATACTCTTTCAAAATCGACTATTACATAGCGTGACCAAATAAACCGTGCAAAGTACATACAACTTAGCATTTCTCTTCTTTTCGCTATCAATATTGTTCTCGAAAAAGTATCTTTTGTTCTAAAGGTAAGGCTACGCACCTGTGTTTTTTCCCGAAATGGAAAGTGATACCTTTCTGTATATTGTGTGGTCTAGTGGCCATCTGTGGACAGGAAGCGAGGCATATCCTTCTGAGCTAAAAGTGCATATTTAGTTGTCATAAGGGGGTAGCCGGGGTGTATCGGGCGGCTTGTTTCGGTACGGGCTGCAAAGATGGGCGCCGATAATTTCTTGGTAATTATCGGGAGGGTAAGAGCCTGACTCAGAAGGGAGAGAGAGAGAGGATGTTTTACCGATAATTCAAAATAATGGAAGAATGCAGAGTACATTATCTCGATTGAATGCAATTATCAGTTATTCAATAAATAAATGTAAACCGTATTTTTTTTATTATATTTAAATGTAATTAAAGAAAAAGTAGCATATTTTCATATGCAGTTTTCAAGTTCGTTATCTTTTTTAATAATTTTTCTCAGCATTTTATTCATTTATTATATAATTATTACTGTCATTTATTAAATTATCAATAAAAAGTAAAGAAATTTTTATTGCAACACAATTTTTTAAAAAAAGTATTAACAGTGAGATTAAGCAACTGCGCGTGGAAGTGTATGCTAGTGTTGCTAATTTATGATATCTCTCGGGGAATCTGACCGATAAATAAAAAAAATTACTCAAACTGTCCTCTTTAGCCCCCTCTAATCCATGCTGAAAATCATCCTAAGATATATTTAATAGTAAATCACCCTAAATCATCAAGAAATCATTATTGCAACACAATGTTTGGTTTGAATCAGAAGGTAAAACTATCTAAATTTTTGGCTTTTTCTTAAAAACATCAGATAGATAAAAACATCTCACGAACACCACAGATAGTTACAGTAATATTATATTATTTTAATGATTATTTACGTTCAAAAAATATCCGTACAAAATTTATATTTATAATACTTTATTTGTCTAATTGTTTTAAGAAACAATTTTGAAAAAGTACCATGTATATATATATATATATA